CGTCCGAAAGAATTGAAGAAAATCTCTGAAACTCACTGCCTGCTGTCGGACGCATAAAACAGGACTATCGGACGTCCGACACTCCAACGGCTAGTTGACTCTTCAGCTACTTTTTATCCGTTGGAAGCTTTAATGAGGCTCTTTCTTGGTCCTATATAAATAGTGGTTGGTCAGATATTTCAAACAATTTTGGCACACTGAAGATACAAAAGATCTAGAGAGATTTTAGTGAGAAAATACTCCAAAAAGAATATTTGTAGTCTTAGTGGTGTGAGGTTCATTGTAAGCTTTTCATTTGTGAGTGAATCTTTCATGAGTGTAGCTCTGTGAGGGTTGTCCTGAGGGATAGTAAAACGTCCTGACTTGACCGAGTGCTGCTTGGAGCAAGGAGGAGGTGAACCTTCCTTTGTACATAAGAGTGATTGTAATTCATCAATTTGAAGTAGGTTGTTTCAATTAATCTACAAGCTCAAGAGAAGTTGGGTAGTTAATTGGTTTGCAATCTTTTCCTTTTTATTTACTTATTGTTTCGTTTATGATCTTTGCATTGGTTGTTTTGGGCCTTACATGCATAGTCATCCAAAAAATATGAGTAAGAGAGAAAGATAGAGAAAATGAAAAAAGAAGAAGGTGACTTTTGTTTCCTTTTTTTTTCATTTTTGAGCTTCATTTATTTGATATGTTGTGAATTATGTGTCAAATGAGGGTTAATATAGTCTTTTTACAATTACTAGGGGAGGTTAGTGATATTTCTAAAATCTCAAGGGTGCCAAGTGATATTAAAAGAAATCTCAAGGGAGGTTTCTGATATTATCCCCATTAATATATATCTCAAATTTAAGTTCCATCCATTAATTGCAGAGGCGGAAAAAAATTCTTTTTTTTTTGAATTCACACCCACTCCATTGGAAATTCTTCCTTCACCCATCCTTTTTTTTTTCCAGTTTAAAATTTAACTCGATTTTATTTTATTTCCTTCTACCGTCAATACAAAAGGGGGCGAGTACCCAATTTCTGTATTAAACCAACTACTTCTACCAAAAAAACATTAAAACTCTACTTGGGTGTAGGTTAGGGGATCAAATCCCTTACCCTGCATTCTAATATTTAGATTTTCCCAAAAAATATTTCCCCAGTTGATACATAAGCATCCGTTCGGACCGGTAGTGGTTCACCGAAGTTCCTCTTGACCTGTTTAGGTTTCCCTCTCCCTAGTGTAAAATAGGAGTTCCTCTTGATCTGTTTAGGTTTCCCTCCCCCTAGCGTAAAGTAGGAATAGTTGTAATATAAAATATATCGTATCAACAAAAAAAATATATATATATTGACTGGGGTTATCTTTTAAGTTCTGTTCTGCTGCTCTTTTCCTGTTACTAGTCCTTCTTAGCATTGACTTCTACTATATATAATTTTCCAAAAGATGTTTTCACGTATGAAGAAATACTTTGAATACTTTGGGTCGGCTGAATCAAACAAAGGGTGTCGGCTGGAAGGAACCCAAAAAAAACGAAAAAGAAAAAGAAAAAAGAGGACCTGTGGCTGTACAGAATTCTAATAAAAAGGAGGAGAGTTTAGAGGTCGTGAGATGATTAGTTAGTTTAAGCTAACCACTCTACAGCCGAAGGACGTTCGCCAGTCACTCACCGCAATGCTTTTGGATGTTGGGCGACGTTGCTTTGATACCCAAACAACGATTTAATATTTGAAGAAACCCTTTTGTTAACCAGAAATTCTTTAACAAAATCGAGCTGATTATGAGATGGAAAAAAGATTTCCAAGTTTTGTATTTTGTGAGATGATTTAGCGTCTTAATGTCACAGATAATGATGCCATCATCAGGTGGAGAACATGATGAAAACCAAGCAAGCTGTTAAGAGAGGATGATTTGTTGAGGTAATTCCATCAGTCGAGTCCAATTGTTCAGTATTCTTTCTGTTTTCTTTTTCATGGGGATAAAATATTGGAACTTCCTTCGAGCGATCGATTTCAATTTCAATTAGGCTAGAATATTAAATAGAGTCCTCAATGAAGTTTTTGTTCTAGTGGATAAGCATGATGAATGAGATAGAAATATCAAATTATGACGCATAGCCAAGCCCCTTGTTGGACTAGCACATACATACTACATCCAACAACAACTGGTAGGAAAAATATAAATGTTTGATTAGTAATATTTGGTGGCCGCCAAAGCAGTAAGTAACTCTTTTTCTTTTGCCATCATCTCAAGCTACAAGGGGTATTTTTCACGATGGATATCTTCTGTGTACTACTGTGAGCTAAACTATTGTACCCATATTCTATGGAGATCGAGTTGGAAACTTGACCCGAAGATAACTCCAAATCCGGTCATGGGAAAAAAAAAAAAGAAGAAGAAGAAGAAGGAAAATGGGGTGTCGGATCCGCAGCTCAGCTCAGCTATTCAAGTAGTAGTTGCATGCACATAATTGCATGATTGCAAATCATGTACCCACAATCAGAAATCATTTTGTTTTTTTTTTTTTTGGGCACAAGAAATGAGAAGAGATCAAATAGTACTCCCTCCGTCCCGTTTTCTTAGTCTTGGTCTTTTTTTCACACAGATTAAGAAAGTGTAATTAATTTGGTTGGAAACATAAATTTAGATTAATAATTTCCTAAAATACCCTTATGCCAATGTATTGGAAAAACTCAATGTATTCAATGTAGTGGGTTAGTATTTAATAATAATGTATTAATAACAAGATATTTAATAAGGGTATTTTAGACAATTTGAAAGATTACTATATTTCTTAATGGGAAAGTGGACTATAATTTGGGACGGACGAAAAAGGAAAACAAGACTAACAAAGTGGGACGGAGGGAGTAATTGAGTGTAGCAACATTTACCATTTCTAACCTTTCTTATTAGGTGTAATGATGGCCTCATTTCTCGTAATGGCTCAAATTATGATGCAGATCCGCAGCAAGACTTTTTATTTCCTATTGCCATACAAAGCAAGCAAGCAAGCATCTTCATTTGTCCTGCTAATCAATTTACCAGATCTTTGCTCAATTCCACCTCCTAAATCATAATGGCTCCACCAAATATCAGTATATTTCCTAAAGTTGTTTCTTTTCCTTTCCATGAAGTTGCGTTGATGCACAACTTTGAATGGCAATTCTTAGCATCTTTTTTAGTCATTCTTTAGCCACCACTGCCATTTTTCAACACAGCTATCTGATGTTGATTTTTTTTTTTTTTTTTTTTTTGTGGCGGGGAGGCTCCTAGCTAGTCAATCAAAAAAAAGAAAAACTTCCCAAATCTTTTGTTATTGTTGGGCTCCAAAAAAAGCAGTTGAATTTCCATAGAATATTGCAGATGGAAAATTAGAAATCTAGAGTCTTTATGTAGAAGAATCAGTCCATAATCCATATCCGGAATTTTAGCATAAGCTGTAACTTGTTAACCATTAATTGACACTATATCCAGAGAATGTATCAAACCTAAAAGATCTTTCTCTACATAGCGGACACACTTGATGATGCTGCTACTCTAGTGTAAGATAACTATTCTATCAAATTGGGCTTATAAATTTGCACAAAATTAAACCCAACCAAAAAAGAAAAAAAAAAAAAAAGAAGAAGAAGGTATTACAAGTCGTTCAAATGAACCTAAACATTGAACCAAAACAAGAACACAGCCTCCATGATGAGGATATTCAATGCTCAAGAGTTCACTTCCCACAAAAGCGGTCTTCAAAGTTGAAACCAGTATTGACAAAAAAAAACTACTGCCTCCTCTTTTATGACAATTACAAGTGCCCCTCAAATCCAATTGCCAAATGTACAAATTTTAAAGATTTGACTATGCAAGAGAGAGGCTCAGATGCAACAATATGGACCAAGAAATAATAATATTTTTCTCTATTGACTAGGAGGGATATTTCAGGAAGTTCAGATAGCAATAACGGCTGAAGATTCGGACCTTTCATGAGGGGTGGCCTTGTACACAAGGACAAATCAAAGCATGCTTCAAACAACACAGCACAGCAGCAGAATTTATGACTTTGGGATGTTTCATATTTTTTATGACCTTTTCTTCTTCTTTTTTTTTTTTTGTTTTTGTTTTTCCTTACTTCTGATTTTACTCAAGTTTTAGCATTTTTCTTCATACATTGAAATTTAAAACCCAAAAAAGAAAACGTAAAGATTTTTGGATCCTAAGATCAGTGATCCAAGAAATCTTGGCCGTTTGATTAACAACAAACGAACATTGCTCTATAAACAACACGTGCAGCCCCTGCCCCCTCTTTTGTTTGTTTTTCCTCTCACACATATTTGCTTCCATGCATGGAATTCTCCTCCCACTACAACACACAAAAACGCACAAAAACAACAATACAACTAGCATATATACTTTAGATTAGATAGGGAGAGAGAAAGAAGGGAGAAGAGGAGAGAGAAATTAGAGAGAGTCTTTGGTTTTCTGTTGCAATTGTTTATCTTGATATGGGTTGTGCTATGTTTGTTCATGTTTTCATGCCCATCTTTTCAAAGATTTGATTTTTATTTCTTTTTTACCTTGAGTTCTTGAAAATATTTTGCAACATTTAAGTAAAAAGGGTTCTTAAATTTCTGCACATGCGAGAAAGATTACATGAATAAGGAATTTAAAGAGTCTTCCTTTTCTTATTGGCTCCCTGATCTTTCACTTCCCCATAAACTGTCACTTCTCTGACCAGTTTTAATCCTATTCGTATGACTTGTGCGATTGTACCAAGTTAAAGTCTTTTTGATCTGTGCTCAACCCCACCTGCCAGATTTGAGCTTTTCTCAACTTTTGGTTCTTCCTTTGATCTGGGATTTTTGGCCGTTTATCTTTTGGACTGGTTCTTTGATGGGACGAGATCAAGAAATGCAGCATTTTGGCTCTGCGGTTTGAGCTTTCTGATTCTTCATTGACCTTGCTCTGATTGTTGGGTATTTTTGGTTTTGGTTTTTGGAATTGTCGAATTAGTCGAATTCACTTATTCACATACTCCATGGAAGATCAGGAATCGAGGTTCGTGTGCAAATGGTGTAATAAGAAGTACCCTTGCGGGAAATCACTAGGAGGGCACATGAGGTCTCATATCATGGCAATTTCAGCTGAATCAGAGATAAAGGATGAGCCCAACATGAAAAAGTTGCTGTCTTTGAATGGCGGTGAAAAGAGTTTCGATAGAGAGCCAAAGGTTGTTGAACTTGGAGGAGGGGGGCATGCTGGTTCTGGTTATGGACTTAGGGAGAATCCAAAGAAAACATTCAAGGCTGTTGATGCTAACTTCCCTTTGCCTCAAGAGAAGGTCTGCAAGCAATGTGGTAAAGGGTTTCAATCTTTGAAAGCATTATGTGGACACATGGCTTGTCACTCTGATAAAGACAGGGGGGGTTTGAAAGATGATCATTCATGGACAAGTGAGAATCAGAAGCTAGTGATGGATAGTCATTCAGATACTGAAGCTGAGGAGAGACAGCTGAGGAGTAGATCGAAGAATAAGAGGTACAAAAGAATAATTATTAAGTCGTCTTCTTTTTCCTTGGCTAATGGTTCATCTTCTGTTTCTGAGATTGATGAGCAAGAACAAGAGGAAGTAGCTATGTGTTTGATGATGTTGTCTAGGGATTCTGGTAATTGGGGTGGGGTGAATTCAGTTGTCGAGTCTTCTGACAACAATTCAGTTGTTTTGGAAACTAAATCGTCTTCAATTGATATGAGAATTGGTAGAATGGAAGGTTTGAAGTTTGTGCACAGTCCAGAGGATGACACTCCTCAAACAAAGCCCAGGAGCTTAAAAAAATCTAGCGGTTTGGATGCTGAGCTTGTTTTTGAGCAGGAGAACTCTGATTCTGGTTACTTTTTAGAGGAAGTTGTGAAGCTTGAATCAGATGCTTCTGTCGATGGATTTCACAGGAAGTGTGGTTTCTTCAAAAGCAGTAAGCCTAAAGCGAGTGTAGGAGCTCGGTGCGAGGAGACTCTTGCTGAAATTAAGAGGGGCTTTAGCAAAATAAAGAGTTATAAAGCAGAACTAAGGAAGGAAATGAGCAGGGAAAACGAACATGATTCTGGAGTAATTTCAAAGATGGGGAAGTACGAAGCAAGAAACAAAAGCAAGGATAGTTCAGATAATCTTGAACTTGTGAATGAATCCCATAGGAAGGCGAGACATGGTTCTTCAGATGCCGACCAATCCAAAAATGCGTACAAGCGGAGCAAATATGAGTGCTTAAACTGTAAGAAGACTTTCAAATCATATCAGGCCCTTGGGGGACATCGACCCTGCCACAAAAGAAGTAATGCCTACCTCGAGTCAAGATATGAAACTGGTGAGAACAGCTTAGATGGTGACGATACTCCAAATGATATACCAAGTACAAAGCTCAGAGAATCTTCCAGCAATAGGAATGCAAGTGCTAAAAATTTATATCACAATGCTGAGAAAAAAGTTAAATCCAAGAAAACCAAAGGGCTTGAGTGCCCCTTCTGTCACAGAATTTTTAAAAATGGCCAAGCTCTGGGTGGCCACAAGAGGTCACATTTTATTGGTGGTGGTAGTGCAGTTGTGGAACGTAGTACTCAAACACCAACATTCAAGACAGATGGCCCTGAATTACTTGATCTTAATCTTCCTGCGCCGCTAGAGGATGAGAATGATGGCCAGTTCATATCCTGGTAGGTTGGTAGTATATGAAAGCATCGCCTGCAGGTGGACTGATCTCTAAAACCAGAGGTTTACTTGCTTTGCCCTGGGGACGTTTAGGAGTGTACAGACAGGTTGGTGGATACAATTTTTTATTATGCTCTTTTCCTGATATCAAGGAAGTCTTATAGGTTGCAGTGGCCTTTGTCCTCATCAACTAGAAGAAGCCACCAGTGTTCGCATTTCATTCGATTTTTTGCAGGTTCCAAAAGTACGCAGCTATTTTTTTTTCCCCATTCCAGATTAGTCTATTCTTTTGTCTGGTTCGAGCATTTTCTTTTCACCAACATTTTCTATCAGTAATTTTTGGATAGACCTTTTTTGGGCTATAAGATTCAATTGACTGATATCATGTGGTCATTTTAGTTCATCCGTCTGAAGAAGCAGGTTAAGTTCTGGCTTGATTCCTTCAGGTGTCCAAACTTATTTGGAGAAAGTCAGAACGGCTTGTTCATCTTAAACTTTAGCCTCTATCTGGTTTTGAAATCATATCAAGTTCATTGCTTGCTTGATATAGATTCACAATTTCACATCCATGGTGCCTACCTGAAATGGAATAAGACAGATGTTTGAGTGCTAGAACTTACCTAACGTTATTATGGAATTCCAATATTGCTTCTCATTTGCACGCCGAATAAATGAGGTTTGGCAGTCTCAGCAAACATGTTATGACTACAAAAATTCAGTTAGAGAAATGCAAAACTGGCTGACTAGTTCTTCTGTTACTTGTTTAAGTTGCTGCAGAAAGTAGTCCTGGGAAAAGTAAATAAATGTAGTTGGATCTTGTTGCTCGCAACACAACCCCCCTCCCCCCTGCCGCAGATTACTAGTGCTTTAGCTTCCTCCTTTTGTCAATATAATTCAGCTGATGATTAGAGAACAAAACTTGACAGCAAATTTTGAAGGGCTTAAGTAAGAAAACAGATTTATGATGGAATAGCTCTCTATTGGCATTTGGTTCCTTCCAGTTAAATAGAAGTAGCCTTTGAGGTTAAGGGGGTTGGTAGTTGTGTCCTCTACAAGATGTATGAACGTCATTATTTCCCAAATCATGATGAAAGGTGAAAATCTGATCAAGGTTCCAGGTTAAGCATCATGATATTCCATGGACACCTAACATCAGATTTGGGTATCCTTCTTCTTGCTGCTATGTGAATCTGAAAAAAAGTTCACAGCTTTAGCTTGACAGAACAAGGTGAAGTTGCACCCTTTTAATCTGTCCGCAACTGCTTTTTTTTTTGTGTTTTTTGGGACTCAACTCGGCATCCACTTCAGTGTCAGTGACACTGGGACATGGAAATGGAAGAGCAACTTTTGCACGTTCAAAATACTACTATACAGTTGCGAGAATCATGAAAATTGTAGCTTTCCCTTCAAGCCTTTTAAAACATCGCAAATCCATCATAACAAGATTATTCCATCCTGATGCTTTCACACTAGTTTTTTTTTTTTGCTCCCCCCCCCCCCTACCAATTATTTTATTAATGGGATCAAGCAAAGGAGTTTGGCGCGTGCAAATATATATATATATATATATATTTTTTTTTTTTTTTTAAAAAAAAAAATTTAAAGATGGTTTTGAATTAGGATATTTCCAGAGGCTTGTAGTGGTTTATGCTATTAAAACCAGAAAAAAAAAAGAAGATTTAGGCTTATATAATGAGATTTATTACCCGTTAAAACATTAAAATGTGAGTGGTTGGTGCTTAGTAAAGGTTAAGTGTCAAGTTCAATGGGCAATGAATGGGCATTGGGAATGTTGGTGATGTTTCTCCCACGCTGCTAACTTTAGGCTTACATATCCATTCCGGATGGTGCTTGAATTAGTCTGTTACTTTTCATAGTGCATAAGGAGGACTTGGGAAAGAACAGAAAGGTACGGCCAATAGGCAAAAGTGATCCATTTGGACCATTCTTTTGTACTTTGTTCAATCTTCACTTCTTCTTTAAGACTTTTGGAACTTGGGCTGACTTTTTGACCTAAAATGGGGAAGGAGGAAAAAAAAAAAAAACTCAGTGGTTAGATTATTGCTAACGTACAGTGGCTATATATGTTTGATTTAGGATTGAATGCCCTTATAAAATAAAATATAGTCAGAAAAATTAATCCCTTAACTAAATAGTAGTACACCATATTGTCTACCACTCCTACTTCCGATCATAAATATAGGTTTCTTGCACATTGTTATTGTTATAGGTTCCTCATTACTCTAATATGGATGGCATCACAACCCTCCTTTTCACGATTGCTTAATCACATTGATGATGTATTATCTTTTAAGTTACTTTTTCCCTTTCAAGATTGTTTTTTCCAACGAGTTTTATTCAAAGAATTACATTCCCTTCTTTTGGCATTTTCTTGAACGAATTGTATTGCAGTTTATTTCAAAACAGTAGCGTATTTCCTTCCCAATAATGTTTCACTATGTAGTTCTCGACAAGATTCTCCTTTCACACTAGTTTATTTCACTATTTCAAAATCAATGCTCCCGTGGCATTTGTGATACTTTGGATTTGTTTCGCATTCAATCCCCTTTAAGATGTTTAGTCCCTTTTTTTTTTTTATTTAATGGAATTCCGTGAGTGAAAGCAACCCCCCCCCCCTTTTTTTTTATTGGTGGACATCATTATGGAAATTTATTTTCTTTTCAAAGCCGTGTCAAGTCCTATGTTTTCAGAACCGGACCGGATAGTGACTTGGCCAAGGTCAGGAGTCAGGGGTCAATGGGTTCGACCGGGGGTCGATAGGGGTCAAACCGGATGACGTCATAAATAAAAATTATTTAAAAATTAAAATATTATATATATATAATATCTAATAATATATTGATATTAATAAAGGTACATTCATATATATTTGATGTTTCAAATATATTTAACAAGAAAATACAAAGAAATTAGAACAATCAAGTAGCAATTTATATTATTTAATAAACATTAACAAGTTTAGAATTAAAATTATGAATTTAATTGAAAAATAACATCAAATTTTAGGACAATATTTATAAAGTATCAAATATTTGAGGTATATCAACAAGTTTTAACAATTTAGGGGGTCAAAACATAATATTAAAAATTTTGAATTTTTAAAAAAAAAATTACTGTTGAACAGGAAAAATCGATTTTTTCCCGGTCAAACCCGGTTTTTGACCGGGTTTTAAATTTTCGGTTTTTTAATATGACTCGGACCGGCTATCTGGCCGGTTCCCGGTTCGACCGGCCGGTCAGGTCAGAGTTTTAAAACAGAGGTGTCAACTTTTAAAGAATCTCACATACATTTCGCCGTTTGGATTGCTGTTTTGAGGATTTTTTTTGTTGGAAAATGTACTGTAACTATTTGATATATGTGAGATAAACGTAAAAATTTTTTGCCAGAAAATCACAATCCAAACACAACAATTAATCAAGCGGATTGGGAAAAAAGGGCGTCCACAGGCAAGGGTATGGGCTTCTTGAGTTGTGGCGAGTCAAGCCTGGACTGGACTAATTGAGGCCTGGATTCATTATAAAGTTAGGCCCACTAACTGATAGAGGTGGAAAAGCGAAATGGACTGGAGACTAGTGCACAGTAATTTCCCTTTTTTTTTTTTTTTGGACAATTTTAACATTACTGCATCTGTCCCTCCCTGTAGCACAGCCTTCTGCGAAGTTAGTTAGGCCGTTGTACTAGAAAGAGATTGGGGGGCCCATAGACTACTTCGTTGGTCTGACGGATCAGCTACTGGGCTAATCAAGCGGTCTCAATCATGGAAAGAGAACCGCGTAAACATGGACAACATTTTATGTGGGCCTTCTCTTTGGGGTCACAGTTTTGGCAGCACATGACATGATTGCGCCAACTTGCTTTGCTATTTCCACTTTTGCGCAACGGTGGGTGTGTCCGTGTGTGTGACTAATTTTTCATTCACATTCAATTCCAAGATTACAAATGAATGAATCCTACACTTCCATCACTTTCATAACAGGATGGATCCTCCGTTGGTATCAATCATTTTACATATATTAATTTGTGTTTTGTGTAAGCTATACTTCCACAAGTAGATTAATAAACTTTTACCTTTTGATGCAATAAAGTAGATACATTATTATTTGGCACTTGTATTTTAACAATAGATTTTTTTTTTATTGGCTGTCTAATCTTATAAGAATTCATTAATACACTTAATTCATTGAAAAATATATTTTGAACTTTGAAATAAATAATAAAAGAATTTTTATTCGAAATATCGGAATTAGTGATATGCAATTGTTCAAGTTAAAGATGCGAAACTTTTTTAAACAGCATAAGCTTATTTATTGGTTTGAACTTTCATTCAAAAAGACAACGATTCCGAAAAATTAACAACATATTCACTCTTCGTAATAAAATAAAAATAATTGGACAAAATCTACACCCAATTCACTTGCCAATACCGGCGAACACTTTTTCGAGAGTACTACAACTGAACACTTTAAAGCAAATTTTGAAGGGAGAAAAAAATTATAGCAGCAAGCAAAGTATTTCAAGTGTGAATATAGATTCCAAAGATCTTGAATTACATTTTATGATCTTTTCTTTTTTGGGTGAATTACTGAATTATCTTTCAAGGGGTTAATAGAGGACAATGATATCCTGTTTGAACCACTAAAAACAAATTCTTTATCTTGACAAGGGCTAAAAAAGCAAAATCCCTGATTCCCCGCTAGCTAGAGTCCGAACTTCAAACAGTTTTTTTTTTTTTTTTAAATAACAAAATATATTTCATTAACGGATTGTTGGGAATCGTCCAACACGATCGATATACATCTTTGCCTTAATGGCAGATAAAACATGGACTAAAATTATAGATCTGCAATTTAACAGACACAAAAGACTTGAGAAATTAGGAACAGATTTAAAAAATACTATCAATTTTAAAATCATCTTCTCATAGAATAAATCGCTGCAGCTCATTATGTGCATGCTACAATCGTCAGATATATTAATCAACACTTGT